TCCGTTCGGAGGGAGCGTTCGGTGTTTCCATTGACCGTAATTACTCCTCGAGGGCCTGTCATCTTGAGCTTAAGGTATGCGTAGTGCGGTACCGCATTGAACTTGGTGAATGCGGTTCGCCCGAGCAGTGCGTGATAGCCACTGCGGAATGGGACTATGTCGAAGATTAACTCCTCGCTTCGGAAATTATCCGGAGATCTGAAGAGCACTTCAAGTGTGACTGAGCCTGTACAGTTGGCCTCTACACCTGGTATTACGCCTTTAAAGGTCGTTTTGGTGGGCTTAATCCTCGAAGGATCTATGCCCATTTTCCGCACTGTATCCTGGTAAAGCAGGTTCAGGCTACTGCCGCCGTCCATAAGGACTCTAGTGAGATGAAATCCGTCAATAATTGGGTCTAGAACCAATGCAGCGAATCCGCCATGACGGATGCTAGTGGGATGCTCCCTTCGATCAAAGGTGATCATCGGGCAGGAGGACCATGGGTTGAACTTTGGGACGACTGGCTCTACCGCGTATACGTCCCTTAATGCGTGCTTCCGCTCCCTTTTGGGGACGTGGGTTGCGTATATCATGTTCACCGTCCGCACTTGTGGGGGGAAACCCTTCTGTCCACTGTTGTTCGGCGGCTGGGGCTCCTCGTCGTCATCGCTATGCAGCCCCTTGTCTTCATTTTCGGCATTTAACTTGCCTGCCTGCTTGAACACCCAACAATCCCTGTTGGTGTGATTGGCCGGCTTTTCGGGGGTGCCATGTATCTGGCACAAGCAGTCGAGTATACGGTCCAAACTGGACAGGCCCCTAGGATTCCTTTTAAATGGCTTTTTCCACTGACCGGATTTAGAGCCTCTGAATCCGGCATTAACTGCCGTATCCTCAGCATTGTCGCCGTTAATGCGGCGCTTCTGCTTGTTGCGACGTGACCTGCCACTACTGTCCCTGGTATCCGAATTACCAGGGTTCTTGGTCATATTGTTGCTATGAGCAAGCCAGCTGTCTTCTCCCGCGCAAAAGCGGGTCATGAGTGTCGTGAGTGCTGCCATAGACTTCGGCTTTTCCTGTCCAAGGTGCCGGGCAAGCCACTCGTCACAGATATTGTGCTTGAAGGCTGCTAGGGCCTCAGCGTCCGGACAGTCGACTATTTGTTTTTCTTTGTTAGGAACCGTGTACAGAATTGCCTGGCTGATTCCTTTGGCTGCTGAATTACGTGACTTAGGTCATCGGCGTCTGGGGGTCGCACATAAGTGCCCTGGAAATTGTTGAGGAATGCGGCTTCCAGGTCCTCCCAACAACTGATTGATCCTATTGGCAAGCTATTAAGCCAATGCCGAGCTGGTCCTTTAAGCTTGAGTGGGAGGTATTTGATGGCGTGGAAATCATCACCGCGGGCCATGTGGATATGAAGGAGATAATCCTCGATCCATACCGCAGGATCTGTTGTGCCATCATATGATTCGATGTTTACGGGTTTGAAACCCTCGGGGATTTGATGATCCATTATCTCGTCTGTGAAGCATAGTGGGTGTGTGGCGCCTCCGTACTGGGCTATATCACGACGTAGCTCCAATGAGCTTTGTCTACTGTGTTCGGCCCTGCTGGATTTGTGGCCGGCGTGACGGTTACCGTCTCGAGCCGTGGGGCGCCCACGCGATCCGCAGATCGATCTTGTTTGCCTTGCCTTGTCCTCCAACATATCTCGTAAGCCCGGCGCATATTCCCGTTCCTTGGTACGGGGTGCGGCTTGAGTGGAGGGCCGAGAGGCCTCTCTGTTGCGGCCACGAGGTGGCCGGTCGGCCGCATCAAGTGCTTCCTCCTCTAATCGGGGTAGCAACCTGCGCTTTGGGTAGCTCTTGGAGGGGCGTTCGAGTTTATGCTCTTCGGCCGCAAGGACTTCAGTCCATCTGTCGACTAGCAAATCTTGATCAGCTCTAAGCTATTGCTGTTTTTTCTTGAGGCTTCTTGCCGTGGCCATAAGCCTGCGTTGAAAACGCTCTTGCTCGATGGGATCCTCTGGCACGACGAATTCGTCGTCGTCGAGGCTCGCCTCGTCTTCGGAGGGAAGCATATAATTATCGTCCTTGACCTTTCTGTCTGCCGCTCTCTCATGAGGGCTGGTTTCTCCATCCTCCTGTGCTAAATCTTGCTGGAGGGGGTTTTCTTCGGCGCTTTCCGGAGTATTATTATCTCCCATGTTGGAATCACCGTATTTGTTTTGGCGGGATTTTGAGCGGCGCCGCTGATGCCAGCGCTTAGGCTGTTTTTTGGAGGGGTCATCCTCCGCTGTTCCATCGCCATCTCCTTCTTTTGGGGTGTCCACCATGTATATGTCATATGACGAGGTGGCTTTCCAGGGCCTGATAGGCGCTGGTTCTTCATCGTCTCCTTCATCGGCGTCCATACCGTCGATGTCTTCGGAGTAGAAGTCGAGCATGTCGGTTAAGTCATCGGCAGTGGCTACAAAGTGGGTGGTGGGTGGGCTTTGAATTTCTTCATCGTCCGAATCCTAACATTGCTGACCGTAGTCCGGCCAGGGCTCTCCTGATAAAGAGAGAGACTTCAGTGTCTTCAGAATATCGCCGAAAGGCGAGTGCTGAAAGATGTCCGCGGCAGTAAACTCCATGATCGGCGCCCAATCGGATTCGATCGGCAGGGGCGCGGAGGGTTCGGAGTCCGGAGAGGAGTCCGGCTCCTTGGAGTCACGAGTCTCGCAGAGTGCGGGGCTGGTGTTCGGCTCGATCGCCGTTGGGATCACAGCCCCTGAGGCGGCGTCCAACCACCCATCCTCGATCGGCGCAGTTGGCTCCGAATTAAGGGTTGAAGCCGATGCGGGTGCGGCCTCCAGGGCACTGTTCGGCGACAGAGCTAGATCATGCTCGTCGTGACAGTGCGGCGCGCTCGGCAGTGGCTCGAATCCGTCGAAAATCAAGTCCCCGCGGATGTCAGCCGTGTAGTTTAAGCTTCCAAATCTGACCTGACGGCCAGGGGCATAGCTTTCGATCTGCTCTAGATGGCCAAGTGAATTGGCCCATAATGCGAAGCCGCCGAAGACGAAGATCTATCCGAGGAGGAAGGTCTCACCCTGGACTGCATCGCCATTGATGATCGTAGGAGCCATCAAGCCTGACGGCGACGACACAGAGGAACTCTCAATGAAAGCACCAATGTCGGTGTCAAAACCGGCGGATCTCGGGTAGGGGGTCCCGAACTATGCGTCTAGGCCGGATGGTAACAGGAGGCAAGGAACACGAAGTTTTACCCAGGTTCGGGCCCTCTCGATGGAGGTAGAACCCTACGTCCTGCTTGATTAATATTGATGATATGAGTAGTACAAGAGTAGATCTACCACGAGATCGGAAAGGGTAAACCCTAGAAGCTAGCCTATGGTATGATTGTTGTTGTGTATGTTGTCCTACGGACTAAAAACCTTCCGGTTTATATAGACACCGGAGAGGGTTAGGGTTACACAAAGTCGGTTAGAATGGTAGGAGATCTGCATATCCGTATCGCCAAGCTTGCCTTCCACGCCAAGGAAAGTCCCTTCCGGACACGGGACGAAGTCTTCAATCTTGTATCTTCATAGTCCAGGAGTCCGGCTGAAGGTATAGTCCGGCCATCCGGACACCCCCTAATCCAGGACTCCCTCAGGAAGGGTTGACAAGAGATAACTACCATTGACAACCACGGTCGTTGTCGCCTCAGCGGTAGTCATAGCAGTGCAACTCCTTGGACCTTCTTCTTCTTCTTCCATGACACACACTTTTCCCATTCATTTCTCTTGCTTAGCGGTGAAAGGGGCAACGTCATACAGTCACACATATTTCTAGATTCTTGCTACGACGAGCTCCCAGGACCATTGGATTCGATGTTAGTAAGCCCGTGATGGTCGGATCCTGACAACAGTGAGTCGAGTCTGCCAAATGAACATGTGGGCGTCAAGAGAGGGATCTACTCAGACATCATGGCGGCGAGACGAAGATGTTTCGGAGCACTGGTTGGTTTCCATGCGTGATTCGAGGAAGGACCAAGGGGATCGTCACTTTCCCAAAAGATAGGCAAGTGTGACTTGAAATTGGGGAGAACAAAATTAGGCGAGGAGATCAGGGAGCTGCTAGAGACATGTTGTGTGCTTTCTTCATCACGCGGGAGTGACCGGGTCGCTCCAGACCCTTTTATTTTTAGAAATTAAATCTAGACATATTTTTTTGATAAAAAATATTAGATCAACACAACATTGGACATAACCAAATATAGGGCAAGTGAACTCATCGACGTGGAAACAACACTAATTAGGGACAGATCGTGAGTACAACTATATGCCTCCAAATTATCATCGAAGTTGTGACTGAATATATCGTTGCCGCACCATTGTAATTCACACGAATGCGGGACAACATCAAGAAATCGGACCATCGAACTACCTGCAAAGACTTGTAAAGGAACAAGTAGATCGCCGCATGAGATGAAGATTAGCAATCGTAATAAGCATATCAACTAGAGACCACCCCGATCTAGATAGACATCCACGTAGGAGGTAAACGGCGCGCCATTTAAGCCCGTTTAAACCCACTTATCGATCTAACAGTTTAAGAAAAAATTGCTAAACAAAATGCTATTCCTCCGCCCCAAAATATAAGATAATTTTTGATACTATCATAATGTTGTAAAAAGTGATCTTATAGAAGTATGAACGGCCGCCATGCACGTGCGTTTGAACGGCTATCGAAACCTGTACGTCAAACACCCCGCCCGGACAGCCGATCTCGGCCGTTGAAGGCGCCCACGGTACACCGCAAATAGTCCAAGTGTCCAACGCTCTTCCACGACCCCACACCCACCTCCCTCGCCGGGCCCCACACACCCTCGACCCACTGCCGAGCGAGCACCAAACCAAACTCCATTTAAGGAACCAGCTCAAGCTCCAGAGCCTCGTCCCAAAGACTCCACACACACGCCTCACAGAAGCCCAGAGCATAGCAGAGCAGAGCCGAGCGGGAGCGGCCATGGCGTCGTCGAGCTTCAAGGTGACGCGGATCTCGGAGGGCGCGGTGAAGCCGGCGTCGGAGACGCCCGACCACACGCTGCCGCTGGCGTGGGTGGACCGGTACCCGACCCACCGGGGCCTGGTGGAGTCGATGCACATCTTCCGGTCCGGCGCCGACGCGGCCCCCGCCGTGATCCGCGAGGCGCTGGGCAAGGCGCTCGCCTTCTTCTACCCGCTGGCGGGCCGCATCGTGGAGCAGCCGGAGAAGGGGTGCCCCGCCATCCGCTGCACCGCCGACGGCGTCTACTTCGCTGAGGCCGTGGCCGAGTGCAGCCTGGAGGACGTGCGGTTCCTGGAGCGCCCCCTGCTGCTCCCCAAGGAGGACCTCGTCCCCTACCCCGCCGCCGACCTCTGGGGCGTCGAGCCCCACAACACCATCATGATGATGCAGGTATGCACATGCTCCCACCGACCACGCCGGCGGCTGGCCGGCCGCCGTGATTCTTAAGCTAAATCGGTCGCCGTAGCATCGTTGATCCGGTCGCGTGAGGAGAGAGAGCTAGATCCGCGCGCGCGGGGGTAGATCTGGGGAGCAGAGGCGATAAGTCAAAAGCTGATGGGTGGATGGATGGCGTCGTCGTGGGAAGCTTCTCCCATTTTCCCCCTTCGACGCGTCGTGGGTAGGTAGTGGCGAGTGGAGACGATTGGTTGACGGTGTCGGTCGGGGAGGCTGTCACGCGGCCCCCACCGGCGTCACCCATCATCGGTCTTCGTAAAGGTGATTACGACCTCGCACGGAGCAATTAACGGCTACCCGGAGTTGACGTGGCCGGAGTTACCCGGAGTGGTGAAGCCGAGAGCTCGTGGTGTGTGCCTGTGAAGTGTGAGGCATACTGCCGTGATTGGCAACGGCAGGCTTGCCACTTTCGTTCTTAGGACAGGGTTAGCTGAGCCGTTGCTGTGACGCCATCGACTAGGTTGAGTACTCCGATAAGAATGCCGGACGCCATCGACAGGGTTAGCTGAGCCGTTGCTGTGACGCCATCGCGAAATCCCGGCGTTCTCCCGGCGTTTCAGGCGAGGCGGCCGAGCGCGGCCACGGGGTGCCTCCCTCGCGGCGCCACTGCGTCACTGCACTTTTGTTCTGTTGCGGGTTGCGTGTGCGTAATGCCGCCGCTGCCTGCGACGGTACGTGCCACCAAGCACGACTTTGCTTCGACCTCAGGCGACCACCATTACGCGGCGTGCTACGGTGGTGGGCAGTGATTAGGTAGAACCGCACTCGCGTACGTAGGGGAGGATTCCGTCCATCATTCCGATCATTCCGGGGCTGAAAGTGACCGCCATGGGACGAGGCCG